ACCTGTTTGGCAATGTGCAAACGAATATCTATCAATTGAGCTACTTTTTATTTAATTTACTCATAGTTGGGGGGCTAGTGTGAAGATGGCCCCCCGAAATTTGTTTTGTTAATAACTTTTTTACTAGAAGTGTGCAAATTCGAAAATTGTGCATACATGTGCAAACGATGAGCAATCGAATGTGCTATAGAAACTTTATGTTTTTCAATGTTGGGGGGCTATCTTCACACAGGTTTTTAGATGATGGAAATTATAATTGAGATATCTTCCCGAGAAAATTGACTTATAGTAATAATCAAGTAATAATTAATAATCAAGTAATAGTCAAGAATTATTTTTCTATCCTGCTTGATAATAAATTTGATATTAAGGAAACTATTATCTTTCTGTATTTCAATCGTGAATCGCAGGCGCTCATGTAATAAATTAAGTTTGGAATAATGTGTAACATATTGCTAGGCGCACACAATATGTCATCATATCTAATAAAAATATCTAATAAAAAAATAGTTAACATGATAAGCGCTCAACTTTTAATGATACGAGTATATTTGTAAAATGGAAGATTTTTTATTGACACAACTACTTATGATCTTATTAATGAAGACCTTATTATAAAATTAATGAACGATGCTCATTCTCTTCTTGTGAGATAGAAAAATAGAGAATACATAGATAATATTACGTATAAGAAACTGATTATCGATTGCCTTCCGAGAGCCTATGAGTTGCCAAAGATTCATAAACTAGATAATCCTCTTCGAATCATAATCACATCTATAAACAGCCTATTATATTCTGCTTTATGTACAATATTTTGCTTAGTAACTTGTTGACATCTTTTAATTACATAGAGAATGGTTACGATTGAAATATAGAAAGACAATAATTTCAGTTTCTTTAACATTAAGCTCATTATTAAGGAGAAAGAATAGGAAAATCATTCTTGTTATCATAAGCCAATTTTCTCAGAAAGATATCTCAATAATTCCCATTGTCCTCTTAATCAAAAAAAGGAGTTACCGTTTGTATGATATAGAATTTTGCCCATCCTCAATTTCATTACAAAAATTTTTTGACATCCATAAATAATCTATTGAATAATGGATATCTCCATTGAATTAATTTTTAACATTACATGTAACACAGACTTAGAGGGCATGCTGGTTAGCGAGTGTGGGGAGTGAATGAGATTTCAAAACGATATTAGAGAAAATAAAGAGATTCGAGGTATATGGAAATAAGGATCGAAGATAGAGAGAGGAGCGAAGGAAGTGAGAGAGTGAAAGGCGTAAAGAGGCGTAAAGGCAGAAAATACATATAGATGCAGAATGGGGAATAAGCAATGAGAAAGCATATGAGATCAGGAGGGAAGGAGAAGAAAATCTATTGAAGAGATGTTGGAAAGAAAAAGAAATAAATGGAAAGATAAGTATTGAAAAGAGAGAAATATTATATAATAGAAATGGCTTGGGTATAAAAGCAATAGAAAAGGAAAGGAGAAATGATAACAATTGAAAGAAAATAATAAGGGAAAGAGATATACAGAGGCAAAGGGAAGAATATAAAACTGCAATGGCGAAATATAATAAAAAAGAAATAAAAGTAGAAAGTAGAGAACCAATTTAAGGAAAATTTAGAAAATTTAGAAAAAACAAGATGGAGGGAGAGAGTCAGGGTTCTAGTGAAATTAAGATGTATAAATTTAGAAGTTAACAAGTATTGGATAGAAGAAGGAAACAAAAGTTACTTGTAATATACTTTGTAGAGAAGATACAGATTGTTTGAAACATTATATAGAGAGGTGTGAAAAAACTGAGGATTGGTGGATGGAATTAGGAAATAGGAATGAGAAAGTACATAGAAGAGTTTGTAAGAAGAATTAGATGAAACTAAAGTTAAGATTTTAAAGTGATTATGGAAAGAAAAAAATAAAAAATTGTCGAAGAGGAAAAGATATAATGATACAGGTCAAGAAAAGTAAAACATGACTAAGAATTGATAGAAGTACATATGAATATAAAAATAAGAACGAATCATAAATAGATATAAATAGATAAAATGGATAAGGTTAGGTTAAAAGTAATATAAATATGAATGTACGTAAAAATTGTTAAATATAAAGTGCAAAAATGTAAGAATATAATATAAAATGTAAATGTAGATAATAATAAAAACATAAATGTAAATATGGACGAAGATATGCTTAGAATGTAATGTAAATAAGAAAATAAATGTAAATTTAAAGTGTAAATAGAGCTGTTAAATAGAACTAGATATAAGAAAAAGTTGAAATAGCGTGTAAATAGAAATAGTGCAGATTAGAGAATCAAAGGATTAGGAAAAGAAGAAAATTTAATTTAGACGCAAGTATAGGATAAGAATAACACAAAATGTGAAGGTGTAGATGCATGAATAGGATAAAGAAAAGTTTGTAAATCAAGTCCCTTTATGGCAGTCCCTTTGTAAAAAGTTGAATAATAAATTATCTATCATTATATGTAACACTATATGATAGGTTAAAATACCCTATTTTCAGAAACTAAATAGCACATACCAATAAGAGCTCATAAATACAAGCTATTTATCATTCCATATGTGAAAACAAAACATCTGAGAATAAACATCTCTGAGAGCTTCTGATCGATCACTAAAACGCATAATTTTACAATCGTGTTTTCGTTACCTAATATGCTGAAAGTACACATAACTACCGTTAAAGACAAATTAGATCATATGTCTCATTATAACATGATTTATAGAATTAGCCGTAACGATTGTGATGCCATATGTTGAAACGTACATAACAAACAAAAAGATGGTTAAAAACGAGAGTTCATGAACACACAACAAATATTAAAAAAATGATCTCCATTCGTTTTGTCCATACATTGACTCTCAGAAAATCATGCTTTTGATTGAGATAATGGAGAAATTTTGAGCAGTGAACCTTCCTTTATCCAGATTAGTTTTGTGAAATGTTATATATTAAAAAACATCGTGATCTTAACAAGCAGAGCGATACGAACTTGCTCATGGAGTCCTATCTATCAATCCTCAATTCTCTCTCTCCTTATTAATTTTTGTTCCTCATCCAACGTTATAATTTCTTTTCCTTTTTTTCTACATGCTTTCTTTCTTCGTCTCCTCATTCTTTATTCCCATATTAACATTCCTGTCGAACCTCATGATAACACTTCTTGAGATATTTTATCAGGTTAATTCATTTTCATTCTATTGGGTATAGTCACTTCTTTCAACCGATTTCTGTCAACCGAACACGTGACATGTCACAAGAGCAACATCGTTTTAATTTATTTTGATCTAATTTTGTTTTTTTATTAATTTTATTAATTTCGCACTGAATGCCCACATTAGAGACCAAATTGTTTGCGTTACAAATATTTATTTTTATAAACTTTAATGTCAAAATATATCTAGTATTTATTTTTAATTTTAATTTTTGAGTCATTTAATTTTGACTCAAATAATCTTTTGTTCACATTCTTTATTTTTTATACAAAACCTTATCTATTATCATTAATTTTTTAAGAAGAAAGATTTTAAAATATTCAAAATGCAAATTAAAAAATTGTAACTTTCATCAAATTCATAAATACAAATTCATACTTCTTTTATATTAATTTTACAAATTTTTAAAAGCTAATATTCATAAAATCTATTCTTATGCTAATTTATGATTGTTTTATAATACCTTAAATTATTTTTAAGATAATTTTAAATATAACAACAGACTATGAATATTGATTGGAGACTGAACATTGAAAGTACAAAAGTTATCATAATTAGATTCAAAATATAAAAAATAAAATATAAAAGTAACTATTAAATTCATTACTGTTATTGAAAAAATATGTTATATTTATAAAAAAAGATGTAATGATAACGACATAACGACATGTTAGTTCTCAATCCTGCTCTTCCTCCTACTTCAAAGACTGAACATTCCTAAACATTTTAGAATTATATTCATATGAATTTTTTTGGTTGATGGAAATATGTTCTTGGAATATTTGATGCTTATTAATTTACACTCTGTATATGTAAATAAAATTTATTTTTGTAAAATTGTAAATATATCTAGATTAAACTTTAAATAAAAATTTCTAGAATTTAATCTTAAAACCTAACAAGTTTCAAAAATTTTATCTGAAATTGATTAATAAAATTTTCATGGAAATGTCAGTAAAAATATTATAAAATTATGATATCAATTTTGTCTAACTTAAGAATTTGTTTGTCATATTTGTATATTGTCACAAAATAAATTGTTACAAAAAAAATTTAAGTAAATTTGCGATGCATAGAATGCTCTATATAGATCTTAGCAACAGTAACATTGATAGTAAAATTATATATTGGAAAAATAAAACGGAGAGTATTTAGACTCACATTTGCTACAGGTTGCTCATTCTTTCTATGCGCAGCATTGAAGATATTAAGCATTATAGATTAAAGATGATTGATTTAAAATATATATAAAATCAATAATATGCTATTATATTTATATCATGCAATAAATATTCAATACGATCTAAATAAATATAAAAAATGATCACATACCTTTTTTCCTTCATGTATTATTAAAGCTATAGCCCTTTTACCAAGTCCCTTATCATCATGTTGTGGATTGAGAAGCCATTTATTTGCTTGTTCTAATCGGCCTGCTACCGTATGCGCCGTTTGTGCAATTCCTGATTTATCCGCTGCTACCAAAGCAGATGCTACCAAGCCACGGAGCTCGTTTAATTTCTCTTTAATACTGCGTGCTAATGCTTCTGCTTGAGGTGTAGTACCTTTATAGATATATTATTTAAATTAAATCAGTCTCTTATTACATATATATAATATTACATACATACATATAATATTTCTATCGATATAATGTAAAATTTATTAAGTATGAGTTACCCTTCTCGTTTTGACGTAGTTCGCAAAGAGCATCAGTCATAGTGATAATTTGTGAAGCCAATTTAGATATGGGTTCTGCTTGCGATGGAGGAAGATAACATTCTGCTAAACGCAATGCCTGCTCTATTATCTGGCGAAGACTTTTTTCTCCTACACCACCTCTTAAAGCTTTTCCATCATCTAACCAATCAAAAGCGGCTCGTATTCTGGATTCTATAGCACTTTGAGCTTTCTTCAATACCTGATATAATAAAATATAAAAATACATTATCTTGCTATTATTTAATCCAGGATTATGTAAAACAAAATATACAAATAATTTACAGTTAATACAAATAATTTATATACAAATAATTTACAGTTAATTGATCAGCGTCCCATTCTTCTTCGTCATATGTTGTCAATTGTAAAACACGAATAATTTCATTTAATTCATCGGACATTCTTCCAGATAAGTAATTACGATTTTCTGCCGCTTCTTCTGCACCTTTTCCGCCTTGTGAAATAATATGAATAAAAATCTTCATTGAACAAATTAAAATCGGAGCGAGTGTTTTTATCTAAAAATATAGTAACCATTATATTTTGAACCAATGTATTCATACTTAGCATATTAGTACATTAATATATGTTACAAGTCGTTTATATAAAAATTGAACAATAAATTTATAACGTTTTAATAATTACTTGGTCTAAGCAGCGAATCAATATCTCTCGGTGTACTTGATGCGTCAATTCCTTTTCACGAGCACCAACTTCTCTTGACACTTTGCTAAGACATGGACTTAAATTCTTAAGAAAATGTACTAGATCCTCCATTGTCTCGATAACTTCGGTAACAGCCAAATAATCCAATACACGTTTACATTCTCGTATAATTTTTCGTACTTCACTCTCATCGAAACAGAGAA